AAAAAAAAAAAAAAAAAAAGAGAGATATGCTCTTCTTGAATAATAACAAGATATTCCTTCCTTCTCACTAAAAATAACAAAACTATTAGCTAAAACATTATTTCAATGGCCTATCAAAACCAACTAACTAATAAGAAACATGAGATTATTATCCTCAAAGATTAAAAATCACCACCAATTATAAATGTACTCAGTAATCTGAAATTGCTTAAAAGGAAATAGGATATACAGACCATTTCCCTAGAATGGAAGCTGATTTCCTTTAATGCCACAGCACTTTCTCTTTCATAAGTAATGTTTTCCCCCATAACAGACAAATAAACACAAACATTTGGAAATGCTTACAAAGAAGTGTAAAGATGCCCACTGTTCCTAGTAAATAATATCAGTTTTAAAGAAGCTTTAAAGATTTACAAGGCTGAATGATTTTCATTCTTTCCCTCTGTTCTGTGCATTAAATATACTCACCTTAAACTATCACAAGTGAATTCAGGTCAACGAAACACTCAACAAAAATTTTATTCTCAGAATTAAAACACAGACTTGGTTTACTCTAGCCAAGTAGCACTAAGTTAGTAAACTGGAAAAGGTTTAATTTTTTAAAATATATTTTAAATTATTAAGAGCACTCATATAATACTGCAAATCATATTTATGTCATGTTTATGTTTCTCAATGAAAGCAATAGTAATGTGTTTAGAAAACACAAAGCTTTCTAGATCTTCATATTAATAGAAAATGTTTCGCCCTTGCAAGGATGCTTGTATAATCTTGTAGCTGAGAGATAGTAAATTTCTGAGCCATTTAACATGAACAAATATCAGCCTTAATATTAGCTTTTTCACTTTATGCCTTTTCTTGCCTCTTCAATCATTGAATAAGAGTATGGTAGAACCAAATATGAAAAATATTTCAGGTACAAAAGAATGTTAAACATGTAACTGAGCTTCCACTACATATTTGATAGATGTCCCCAAAGGCTAAAAACATTTAGAAACCCTGAATCCAAATTTAACTAATGAAATTAGTAGTGGTCTTGGTACTATCTGCCTAACTTTGATGTTAAACAGCTTAAGTTTTAAGTCTGTGCTCTCAGGGTAGGCAAGAAACTACCCTATAGTTGGCCTCAGAAGAGAAGCTATATTGGCTTTTCCCATGAAAAAGCAGGAAAGAGTGAACTGAGAGAGAGACAGAGACAGTCAGCAAACTGGACAGAGAGGAGCAAAGCCTCCACTAAAATTCCATATTCATAAAACAGTGTTCATGAAGCACTGGGTTAGAATTTGCACTGTTTGTAGGACCCTAAAAGCTCCAAGCTGAGAACTGTTTTTGACACTTGTATTTTATTGACTCACAGCCTAAGTTGCCTAGGCTGGCCTCAAATTTGCCTCCCAAGTACCTGAGACTATAGCTATCATGCCCAGATTAAAATTGTTATTTAAATGGTCTTTAATTGATAGCGACTCCAGGAAGGTGGCAAAAAAACAAAAATAAATATCTATTGAAACATTTCAACCCAAACCTATAAGAATACCCACAATCAAAGGTTAAATTCGCACAATTATAAAGAAAATAAACATTAAGTCAACCATTAACCAGTGGTGGGAGATACAACAAATAATAAATGAGGCCCACGAAAGCTGTGGATACTGGAATTATCAGATATGGTAGAAAGCAAGTGAAATATATTTAAAATGTGTAAATAACAAAAGAGTGGGAAAAGTATTTCAAAAGAATACGATACTATCAAAATAACCATGCAGATCTTATAGAAATATACACTCACCAAAATTTAAGATTTAATAAACTAGTCAAACATCCAGAAAAGCAATGCTGAGGACAATGATCAGTGCACTGGAATACAGATTTAGAGAAAAAATACAGAGCGAATCCCAGAAGCATAAAAAGAAAGAAAACAGAAAATGAAATGTAAAAGGAATAGATGACAAAAAGAGATTATCTAGTATTCATCCATTGATATACAAGAAAGAGATAACAGAATTGGAGACAATGTTCAAAAGAAATATTGAATAAGAATTGTTTCAAAATTAAGAATGAATGCAGGATTTCATATTCCTAATAATAGCCAAAGCAACATAAATAAACAGACATCTGCTCCTGGACATATTACAAAAATACAGAGATCTTAAAGAAGCCTGAGATTTTTTTTTTTTTTTTTTTGGTATCAGGGATCAAACTCAGGTCCTGTGCTTGCGAGGCAGGCGGCAGAACCACTAAGCTAAATCCCTGGCCCAAGAACCTGAGATTTAAAGGCAAATTTAATTTAACAAACAAACAAAACTTTTTAACTCAACCACAGAAACCAGAAAAGAAAACAATAATATCAAAAGGTGCTAAGGAAAAAAATAAATGTCAAACCAGAAGTTTATATTCAATAAAGTTATAATTAAATAACACAGGTGAAACTAAAATATCAAACAAAACTTTGAATTTGTACAATTAATGGAAGGCCACTAATGAAGTACTGATAGGATTTAATTAGGAAAAAATAGAAATAAGCAAAAAAAAATTAAAGACAGCACGGTGAGAAACTCGAGAAAAGAAAAAGTAAATATGGCTTAACATTTTAAAACATTAAAATCCTGTATATACAAAATAAGATATATTTTGTGGGATTTTTTTTTTAAAAACATCACTGGAAAACAATGGTAAATAAAGCAAGCATCAAAGTAATGGGTGTTAAAATATTCCCAAATCCCACTGTTGGAATAGAGAAATAAATTTAAGCTCATTAAGAAAAAAAAAAAAAAGAACAAGTGCTAGAACTAAAAGAAATACTAGAATAAAAGTGAAATAAAGGATATACAATAGCACATTAGAAATAAATCCAACTATAACATTAATTAAATTGAATTTAACTGGATGAAATATGATAAAAGATGAAATAGCCATTTTTAATGAAGTTTGTATAGAACCAGGTCATATACAGTCAAGAAAATGAGTAGAACACAACTCAGAACATGAAATAGACCCACGGGCAGACCTAATGCTATAAATAGCGTCACACACCAATAGGGAAGGGGGTGCCACTTAAAACATGATGGTGTGGCCAGCCACCGCTGCAGATAAAGAAATAGAATGGAGGGCCGGGGACTTAGCTCAGCGGTTCGGTGGCCTGCCTTGCAAGCGCAAGGACCCAAGTTCAATCCCCGGTACCAAAAAAAAAAAAAAAAAAGAAAAAAAGAAAGAAATAGAATGGATCTCTTCCTCACATTGTATATAAATAACAATTTCAGAAAGACAGAGGGCTTAATCCTTTCAGAAAATGCCATAATAAGGGACTTTTGATATGACAATTTAATAGCAAAAAAATGAAGCCATAAAGAAAGCGATCCACAACACTTCATATGAAGGACTTCTTTTTATTAAAAGATATCTTACCAGGGCCAGGGATTTGGCTCAGTGGTTCTGCCATCTGCCTTGCAAGCACAAAGGCCTGAGTTTGAACCCTGGTACAAAAATAAATAAATAGCCGGGCGTGGTGGCACACGCCCATAATCCCAGCACTCTGGAGGCTGAGGCAGGAGGATCACTGTGAGTTCAAAACCAGCCTGGGCTACATAGTGAGTTCCAGGTCAGTCTCAACTACACAGTGAGACCCTGTCTCAAAAAAACAAATAAACTAAATAAATAAATAAACAAATAGCCTCAAGAGATGTCAAAAGATGAAATTTCAAACTATAGAGTAATGAAGATCATTTGCAATGTATTTAATCAATAGAAGGTTAGTATGAGACTGTTCTACAAAATAAAAACATAAGAACTCAACAGAAGAGTAGCCAATTATACACGTGGCTAACAAACATGAAAAATAAGTTAATAAAATAAAATATAAAATGAAAATAAATTTTATCCAGATTGAGAAAATTCTGACAACAGTGGGCTGGGGGCAGACCTAGAGGAACAGGAACCTGTACACACTGACAGAGAAGTACACTCTAGAAGTCACTTGCCATCACGTGACAGAGGTGAAGATATACACGCCAACGTACCACTGTACACACACATGAAATCAGTTTAAAAGTTACCATTCTGTTAATAAAAAATCTCAATTAGACAGCCTACAAATTAATAATGCATCACCAAAAGAAGATATGCTAGAGATGGTCTGGCAACTAGGTACCAAGAAACAAATGTAACAGTGATCATAAGAAGTATTTTTTATAATAGCAAAAAAACCCGAAAATAACTCAAATGCCTACCTTCAGGTAAATCAGTAAATAAAACAGGTATACAAAATAAATAAATTCAAGATTTACTATTCCAGAGTCCTCTGTTACAGTTAATTCTCCTTGTCTCTCTGGAGAATATTATCTGTTACTTCTGGGTATCCACCTTCTACACTATGTATTGATACATAACTGACCTACTGGATTCAAACTGTGGTACTGACACACACCAGAGTCCTATTTATCCTATCATTTTCACTTCTCCTATCTGATTTCTCCTTCTAATTCCCCCATCTCACAACACATGTGCACACGCACACACAAACATTTCTTGACATACTTTTCCTTTGACCTCCAAAACTCCTTCAAGTTTCTCAAAATACCCGTGGAAACACCTACTGCCTCTCTGTGATGGTAGCTTAATGCCCTTAAGATTTGAACTTCTAATTCTATATTTAGGATCAAGAAATCCATTTTTCAACCCTGAATGAAATCAGAGGATGATTAAGACACCAATTTTACATGCTAGTTTATTTTATTTCTAATTATATTCTTAGTAAATGATGTTAATATTTAATGGCAATGACTTTGCCACTCAGTGCTTTGCCCAGTAAAACCAAAGCCCTTAACATTTTATTGGCACTAAAGCAGTCAGCTGTGACACAGGATAACGGCAAGGGCAAAGAAGTTCTGCTCCATCCCTAAATTAAATGTCTCCTAGATGATGTGAAATGTTCAGGTAGAAATAGCAGTTGCTCAAAGAAAATGACTTCTTTACAATAAAAAACAATCACCGGTGTACTTCCCACAAATCAGATGAGACCATAACACACAGTTTTAATGGGTGTTGACAATATTGTCATAATAGAAGCACCTGTTCACATCAATGCCAACCCTATGACATGTGTGTGTATAATGTGATTTTGAATAAACAAAACAGATGCAAGACACGCTACCAGAAAAAAAAAAAAAACATAGGGGTCATTCACTGTTCGGCTGTCGATGAAAAACAGGTGAAATGACAATGCCTACTACGACAGTATTGCCCTCTATCCGCAATCCTCAAAGCACAAAGACAGGTACTGCTGAGGCTCCCTTCTCCCCTAGGCAGGGTTTCCTAGCTCGTTATAATACCCAGTAAACAAAAGAGAAATTATCAGTGTTGATCTATTTTACAAAATGATTCACATCTGATTTCTTCGCCTATGTATTTCCTGGATACACATAAATATACGACGAGTAAATTTTTTCTCCTACACTTTTTTTCCTTCCTGCCTCTCAATTAGCCTGCTCTACATCCATGGTCAAGTAACAAACACAAGTGAGGCTATATAAAGCGCTGTCTTCATCCATATATTTTGGCATCAAGTAAACAGAAACTAACTTAATGCCAAGCCCCTGAATGAGACGAGACAATCTTCACAGTCATTCGTTTTTTTACGTCTGCTGAGGTCCCCAACCTATGATAGTTTGAGTCAAGGCTTTTTGACTTTACAATAGTGCAAAAGCCATACATTGGATTGTGATCCTGTCCTTTATGCACGTGGGTGAGCCTTAATGTGCTACTGGACAAACCAACACTTGACAGTGTGCCACGCTACGAAGGTAGGATGTTCAAAAGTTAGCTTCATTGAATTCGTGTTTGACTTATGATATTTTCAACTTATGATGGTTTTATTGAGATAGAAGATGAGGAGGATCTGCAATTCTGTGTGACTCTATACTAGGTACTATAAAAGTTCAGAGTGGAAAATGTCTCCCCCTTTTAAGATATTCAATTTAAAATAAAAGGAAATGTACATATAGATAACACTAAGATCAAAGAAAGACACTAAAGCAGATTAAGTATAGAAGTATATTTGATCACAGTAAAGATTTTGCCTTAAGATGTTCCAAGTCTCCCGTGGAAATCTCTACCTTTCCATTCTAAAGGCTTATTGAAGGAGAGGAGCCATAATGAATTAAAAGCCAACTGTCAAGGATTTCAGAGAAAGAGAACACTCTGCAAAAGACCAAAGCATAGGATAATTGACAAAGGGCCATGATTACTAAGATAGCCAAGGGGAAATTCAATGTCTGCTGTAGATTCCAATATATCTGAATAAACATACGGCATTACTACACCATTTCCTGAGAACCTGTTCATTTGTCTACCAGGGCCAAATAATGTCTTTTTCTCTAATATTTATCTGTTACTCAGAAAGACTTCACTTGTCTTGAGTTCCTAAGTAGGTTAAGACACCAATCTTCGAAAACCTTTGGTAGGAAAATATTTAAGAATAATGTCTCACACTTAATTTGTAGCATGAATGGTCCATCAGTGTCTGTCCCCCCACCAAGATATTGTGCCAAAAAGAATACTGTTTTATCACACTAGATTCCCTCAAAATTATAAAAATTATACATTTCTCTTTTTCTTTTAGGCTAGTGCTTCCCACATGTGGTTTGGGAAGAAACCATCAGCATCATCCTGGAACTTGTAGTAAGTGAAAATTCTGTTACCACCTGGGCCCTACTGAAACAGACACTTTGCAGGTGAGGCCAAGCAGGTGGCGTTTCCACGAGGCCCTCTGGTGCATCTGCTACACGCTCAAGGTGAGAATCACTACTTACGACCTGCCAGATAATGGAGCACACACCTTTACCACTGTCAAGGGCATTTCAACCCAAACACGGTAAGAAAACAAATGGGTTTGCAGCTGAGTCTCAACACTGAGAATGACATAGATCTCAGTTACTCAATACTCCCCCGAATGACATAATATTCGAAGTACCAGACGCTCATAAACCTCCAGAGTTGTAGCTTCGTAGACTGTAGTGTCTTACAGAATATTATCTAATATATTGTCGATGAAGCCAACAGACTTAACAGGCTCCCAAGGGTTTCCAAGGGTCTGGAACCTCACAGCATCTCACAGAACAGCTCAGCCTGTGAGAGAGAGGTGGAAGACACCCCAGGAGGGGAAGAATCTCCTGGAAAGTCAGAGAAAGGGAGGGAAGGAAGGAAGGAGTTTTCCTCCTGCACTGGACTAGACCTGGAAGGAGATCTCTCTCCAGGCAGATCTAACACATCTGAAATGAGACTGGCCCAGTTCTCCAGCCTGTAAATTAATGTGTTTCGAAATACCAAAAACATCTAAGCTGAACAGAAAATACGATCTCCCTCTCTAACAGGCACACTAAAATATTTTTATACAATTTATGCCAAAACCCCAACAAGTCTCTAGAGAATGTTGGCCCGCACCGCCCCATCCTCCGCTCCCTTTGTTCTGGGTAATAAAGACCTTCTTGCCGACCACTCACAGCAATTAGCTCACCCCAAACTTCGTGACGAAAAGACGGGGGAAAGAGAGAAATCACTAACAGCAGCGGTCATTTTTTTTAAAAAAATTGAAAATAATGTGGAACTCCCTCCAAAATTAGCCTCCACCGCGATATAAATTGGTTTTCTTTGTGATCTAAAATTGACTCGCAGTTCACTAGTTAGAAAATAGTTGCTGAAAAGCCGGGCCTCGGAGCTTCAGGGTCCCGCCCGCCTTTCATCGTGTAAACAAACGCATCAGATTTAAAGCTTTCCCATAATTGTTATGCTAACCTTGGAGCGCAACCTCTCCATTTGCATTTGAAGGAGCTACATATTAGGCAGGAAAGAAAGTGCTCTTTTTGAAAGCCTGAGAAAATGTCCCCGCTCGGGGCTGTTCCGCCATCTGGGCCGCGCGGGCTGGGCGCCGAGGCTGGGGTGCGCGAAGGCCGGCACCGTGCGGGGAAAAGAATGCAGAAAAGTGCGCGACGTCCCGGGCCCCGACGCGCGCCACTTCCTCGCTCCGGGCGGGGGAGGCCGGGACGTGGGAGCAGCGCGTCCCAAGGTCTCTGCCTTTTCCCAGAGCACATACCAAACGCCAGCTCCTTTTGCAAGCTCCCAGCCTGGTCGCAGCAGCGCAGAGCTGCGGTCCCCGCTGCAGGGCTCAGGGCGCAGGGTGCTGGGCGTCGTGGGTGTGCGCGTGAGTGTGCGTGAGAGGGCGCGGTGCGCGCTCCGAAGGAGAAAGTCGTCTTTAATTGGCGTCCTGGCCCAGTTTTTAACTTGATCTCCTTGAGTACCCAGATATATCTAGTCAAAGCTAATGATAAAAAGCACACTTAAGCACATTAATCTTGGAGTAATTAAAAAATAAAAACACCGAGCCATGGGACTTGTTAAAAAAGAGGAAAAAAAGCCCCAACCTCTCATTAGCTCATTGTAAGAGAACCAAGAAAACCTGTGTATCTCTTCACCTTTTCACGCGCTCTGAGCACAAGGCGAGTTTATAGTGAGTCACGGGGAAATCGGCCCTGGGAGACCGAGACTGGGGATTCCGGAGCCAGGAGAGCTGGGGGTGGGGGGTAAAGTGCTGCTAGACTCAGTATCCTGATGGCTTTCTCTCACCACTGTCATTTTAATATCATCTCTCATGTAATCCAGAGGTGCTTCGGTTGTAAAGTTATTTCCCTATTGTCAGAATTAGCATTTCCCCCTAGTCCTAGGAGACATTCCAGAGGAGAAGGGTATTTTTATTTTCTTTTTTTCCTCCCCTTCATTTGACAAAGGCCTCTCATGCATCGCTGGACTGTATTACAAAGTTCGGGGATTTTTTTTTTTTTTTCCTCAAAGGAAGATCATTGAGGCTAGAAGTAACCCTGGTAGCTGCTAGGAGATGGAATTCACTGCGTGTTGCACAAATAATTGGCAAAAAGGGGAACGTCCAGCAGCAGAGTCCTCCACGGGGGCAAAAGGATGCAAGAGTGGTCACAGAGGGACCTGAGGGAGAAAAGATGAGGTTTATTCTTCTGGCTGGTGGTATACTAAGTATCAGTGTTTGAAAGTCTCTAAAATGTATGAGTTGTCATTTAATCTATTTATTTAGTGTTTATCGGGCAGGGACAATTTTGTTTTGTTGTTTGTTTGGGTTTTATTTTGTTTTGTTTTCTTTGTACCAGAGAGCGAACTGATCGAACTCAGGACCTTGCACTTGTGAGGCAGGCGCGGTACCATGGAGCTAAATTCCCTGGCCCTGTTTTGTTTTGCTTTTTAAGAATCAGAATGTAGCCCCCGCAAAACCTAGGCTGCATTTCTGGCTTCTCACCCCTACTAGCCCTGGTGCCTCATAACAAGTTACAGTACTCAGCTTGTCTAAATCCCAGTGTCTCCATCTGTGAAATATGGATGCTGTGCCCTTTTGGAAGGCTGTGATCATGATGGAATAAGCTCAGTGCCTGGCCTACGGTAGACACTACGTAAATCTTTGCTGTGGCCAGGTATCATCAGTAGCATTGTCATTGCCTTTGCTCTGAAGACTAAAAGAATGCTTTAAAAATGTAATAGATGAAGCAAATGAAGTGGCATTCGAAAGTATTAGGTGCTAGAAATGAACAGTGACCCTGACAGCATGGAACGGCTCTCCTGCAATTTACCTTCTAATGAAGGAGATGCTCAATAAGTCAGAAAAATATTAAACATGGTCACTGTAGAGAGCAAGACATTCCATAAAGAGAATAAAGGATGGTGACTGGAGGGAGTGCGGGAGAACGAGAGAGACAGGAAGAACAGGAGCCCTCTGAGGCAGGGGTCATGGTGGACAATGGTGGAGAAACAAGCAGGACCAGCCTCTGAGCGGACAGGGGCTTCCAAGCCTTCTTCAGGCCATGAGAGACCAGGAGAAGATTTCAAGCATGGGGAAGACCTGACCTGACTTACCACTTAGCAAGGTCACCGCTGGCTCAGATCGGAGACCAGACACTGGGGGAGGGGGCAGGGTAGAAGCGGTCCTCCGCCCTAGCTGCACAAGGAATCTCCTGGAAAGATTTTACAATGCCAAGCCCCACCTGCACACATGGCATAGAGCCCAGGCATCACTGTTTCTTGGGATGTCTGAGAGGCGCCGGTAGCTTTGATCAGAGAGAAAAATAAGAACGCTCTGATTTCACAGTCAGGATATGTCTTGGAGGTAGAAGCAAGTCAACTTGGCAAAGCACTGGGAATGTTAGGGTGGGTGGGGAGAAAAAAATAGGAATCAGTAAGGACCTTTTCTTGTTTATACAGTGGTATCAACAGTGATTTCATTGACCCCGATGGGAAAAATGAAGGCAAAACCGGCTGGTGGATGGGGACTGTAAACCTGAAAATAGGAATGAGGAACCGCTTAGGTATGAAGTGCCTCGTGCACATATTTAATAGGTAATAGTCAAATTAGGAAAGGGAGACATCCGCAGAAGCTGTTCAGTGTGAGAGCAGGAGGACAGCACTTTAAATGATATCTGCATCAGTGTCGCTCAGGAGAACATTCTGCCAGTACCGAAACGTTCTGCATCTTCGTGTTCAGTGAAGAAGCCACCAAATGATTACTTCTGAATATGGAGTATTTGAAGTAGAGCTGGGCTGATTCAAATGAGTAGCTGAATTTTAATTATTTAAATTCAGTAACTGTAGGTGGCAGATATTGCCCTCATGGACAAATTTGATGGATGTAGGTGATTCCCATCTGGCTGAACTTCTTTCAGAATCTGAAAGAACTTCTCACCCTTCCCCTGGTAAAGCCACATCCTCCCAGCCTAGATCACTGTCCCAGCCTCCTATCCGGTCTCATTTCTGTCTCTGATTTTCTATTAAGTAGTCTCAAAACAGTAGCCAAAGGGATCTTTACAACGTGACTTCTATCACGTCTTTTCTTTGCATAAAGCTCTCTCGTGGTTGCAGCAAAAGTTAAAATCCTTCCAAAAGTCCAGAAGAAGGAGGGATTCTGCGGGCTTTTGCGCTGCTTCTTTGCATCTCTTGACCTTGCTTTTCTGCCACATCCTCTCAGTCCCTACCGTAGGACTCAGCACCTTCTACTGTGCCATACAATTAATTCGGTTATGTTGTTCATTGTCTGTGTCTCCCCCTTCCTGGAAAACAGACTTCATTAGTGGGGAAGTATAACTATTTTGTTCACTATTTTATATCCTAGTACCTAAGACACGTAATTATCGTGCCTGTACGTGGCCTTTGAGCTATTGAAACAGTCGCACCCAAATTAATGTGCTCTGTAACTGTAAAAATACCCTCAAGACTTTGAGGACGAAGTATGTGTTTTTAAAGAGTATCTTAATACTCCAGTTATTTAGATTGGTTAGTTATTATAATATTTTTGATAACATTGAGTTAATTTTAAAACGTTATTCAAATTAATTTCATCTGTTTCTTTTTACTTATTTTTTTTATATGAAAATTAATTTCACCTGTTTGTTTTTAGTTATCCAACATGAAATTTCAATCCTAGGAAATTTTAAATCACCTGTGTGGCTCGCGTTACACTTCTAACAGTGATTTAGAGAAAGAACAACAGCCCGCTGCGGGTTCCGTCTAGAGATGAGAGAACATGCATGGGGCGAGTGTGGTACATGCAAGATGAGAGAAATGATTAATTCTAGGAGTAGAGAACCATTCGCTGGTCTATATGAGGTAAATGGATCATAAGATTAAAGCGAAGGTGGAGACTTGACAAAAAAAAAAAAAACAATTGGGCAGGATGCAACTGACTGTCAGCTACAAGAACATCTTCGGTGAAATTTCGTGGAAAGGTGCCCTGGGCGACAGGGTGTGGAGACAGATGAAAAATGAGGAAGGAGGGACAACTAATACAGACAAGAACTTTTTCTTTGAGAAAGGAGAGATGGTAGGAAATAGAGAGGAGAAAGAGGAACGGGAAAGTCAAGTGGGACAGTAAAGGATTGAAAATAATCAAGAGATAATGTATATGTACCAATTCTCCAAAATGAATGTAAATTAATATATGTTGTAAACTTAAACAATTTTAAAAAATAGTTTTGCTGAGAGAAATGAGATGAAGCAAAACCCAGCTGTTTTAATGGAAAGTATTCTAAAGAATGTTGAAATAGATGCGGTGATGGACACCTGTAATCTCAGCACTTTGAGAGGCTGAAGCAAGAGTAAAAGTTCAAGCCCAGCCTGGGAAACTCAGGGAGTTAGTGAAATGCTATCTCACAATAAAAAATAAAAAAGCGTAGGGGATGTAGTTTATTGTGGAGGTAGTGCACTCCATCCCCAGTACCACAAACAAACAAATGAAACAGAATGTTGGCCAGGTGAGGGAAATTACCCAAGCCAAAAAAAAAAAAAAAAAAAAAACC